TTTCCTGTGATCACAAAGCTTGTTTACATCCAGACATTATTCCTACTGGCTGCAGGTATCTCTGGTTTGATCTTGTTTTAGAACTGAGATGTGAAAAGGTTTTCAGGTTTTCCTCATCAGAATATCTTTTAACTGGATTCTCCTTTGTCTACTCCTGACTCAGCTTACCTCAACTTCCCCATTCAGGAGTCTCTGAGTCAGAAATCAAAGCCATCCCATATGGTGGCATTTGCTTTGCAAATATCCCGACAGTTAAACCATTATCTAGGGTACAAGGCAGTCAGGTAAGTAAAGAAAAGGTTTAAAGCTTATTCTTAAAGAGTCATAAAAAAGTTAAAAGTAGGAACCGGTTGCTGGCAGGGGGTCACTTGGTCTAGCAGCAACGCATAGTTTTAGGCCCAAACGATATTGTGGTTGATATTAGAAACTGATCATTCATCTTTCAAATCCTTTTTCCAGATAGCTCGACTGCGTCCAGTAGGAAACTGTGTTTGGGATCAAACTCACCGTATAGTGAGACTCACGCCTTTTGGGGGTCTCACACGGGAATATTCCCCACAACCGTCTCTATTAAAAATACAAAAATTAGCTGGGTGTGGTGGCATATGCCTATAGTCCCAGCTACTCGGGAGGCTGAGGCAGGAAAATCGCTTGACCCCAGGAGGCAGAGGTTGCAGTGAGCTGAAATCAAGCCAGTGCACTCCAGCCTGGCAACAGAGCGAGACTCTGTCTCAATAAACAAATAAATAAATAAATAAAAGACTTTGCTTTTTAGTTTTAGCTCTTGGACTAGAAACCACTTGCACAACATTCTTACCGTCAACCCCACCCTACTGTCATGGCAGATTTAGGAGATGGGTGTTTCCCTGTCCTTTGGTCCTTGTCACCATATTCTGCCCAAACAATAACAGTTGCTTGACTTTGTGAAAGCTTTTCAGGAAAAGAGATCAAAGCGTTTCACCAACAGCAGATAACCATTCCTTTCCCCAGTCCTGGAACACAGAAAGGAAATGGCGTTATTCTCCATTAGAGATAAGATAGATACAGACGTGTCCCTTCTGTAACTATCTTCTGACCGCACTTGAGGAGTCTTGCCAGTTCCATGTGGCCTGAACTGACAGCCCTCCATGTCCCTATCCACAGGCTGCTTTGCACTTCTCACATCTCCTGGGACAAGACCTATCACACAGTAAAATAAATACCAAGACGTATTTTCAATGGATTGGAAATAAATTTGAATGAGCAGGTAATCCATGTGTTTGGTTGCGTTGATTGTCCCTTGCATCTAATGAGGGCTTCTCTGATGACATAAAACAAGATCATCTTATGTTTCTGATGTGTCTGGAGAAACAGAAGTTCTGTAGGGTGTGAGAAGCTGCTATGAAAATAGAAGTCCATGGTTAAAAATTTTGAAAAAGCTGTTTTGAACAAAATTAAACAGATTAATTCTCCTTCAATTTATTGACGCAAAGCAACCAACAATAAAGAGGCTAAAGGGACTTTAGTTCTCTTTCTTCTTTTGTTTGTAAAGATGTAAGCGCACACATGAAATCTTGTTCCATGTGAATAATGTGTAGTGATCAAGTCAGGGCGTGTGGCTGTCCACCACCGAGCACAATGCATCTTTGTTAAATACAGTCACCCTACTCTGCTTTGAAACATTGAATCTATTCCTTCTATCCCACTATATGTTGGTATTATATGTTTGTACCCTTTAAGCCACTTTTCATCTTCGCCTCCTCCCACTCACCCCTACCAGTCTGTTCTCCATCTTTCCACACTCTACCTCCGTGCAATCAAATTTTGTAGCTCTCACATATAAGCGAGAACATTTGATATTCGTCTTTTTCTGTGGCTTATTTCATCCAAGATAATTAGTCTGTCCTATTTTACTTTAGCTCATGACCTTCAGTTCCATCCATGTTGCTACAAATGACATGATTTAATTCTTTTTTATAGCCAAATACAAGTAAATTTTGTAACATAATCAAATCATAGTGATTAAAAGTATAGAGAGAGCTGGGGTTTAAGTCCTAACCATACGCCTCGGTCGCCATCTGTGCTCAGCAAGATTTTTTGTGTCACATGTCTGAACTTTGGCCCCTTTCACCTCAAATGGAGCCCCATAGGGTTGCTGTGGATGCTGAATTATAATGCATGTCATGCTTAGCAAAATGCCCAGCTCATAGTAATTACCCCAAGAATGGCTAAGGAGTCATAGTTGGAAAAAGTAATCACTCATAATTATTACAGAATCATAATGAAAGAGAGAGAGGCACTGGGCAAACCCCTTTGGAAAACTGTTTGACTTTCTCTACCAAAGCTAACTACTTGTAATTAAAGGTCACCAATCCCTTTCCTAGCTATATATGTACATACATATGCTACATTTTGTATACATATATGTAACAATCAGGAATGCACACGTATTTCACCAAAAAACCTGTACTAGAATATTCATAGTAGTACCATTTGTAATAGCCCAACCCTAGAAATACCCAAATGTCCATCAAGAGTAGAATGAATAAATTGTGATATATTCATAACATATCAATCACAAAGATTTTAGAAATCTTAAAGAGATACATTGTGGTCAGGCACAGTGGCTCATGCCTGTAATCCCAGCATTTTGGGAGGCCGAGGCGGGCAGATCATCTGAGGTTGAGAGTTCGAGACCAGCCTGGCCAGCATGACCCTATCTCTACTAAAAACACAAAAATTAGCCAGGTGTGGTGGCATGCACCTGTAGTCCCAGCTACTCAGGAGGCTGAGGCATGAGAATCACTTGAACCTGGGAGGGAGTTTGCAGTGAGCCAAGACTGCACCTCTCCACTCCAGCCTAGGCAACAGAGATAGACTTTGCCTCAAAAAAAAGAAAAAAAAAAGAGAAAGAGATCATTACAGATGATTAAGTATAGAGGTGTCCATGGCAGTGAGCCAAGACTGCACCTCTCCACTCCAGCCTAGGCAACAGAGATAGACTTTGCCTCAAAAAAAAGAAAAAAAAAAGAGAAAGAGATCATTACAGATGATTAAGTATAGAGGTGTCCATGGTAATATTATTTATAACAGAAATACTAGAAACTAGCTGAATATTCATCAGTAAGGAAATAACTAAATATATGTTTTCATAGTAATAATGTTCACAAATCCATGCCCTGCTATTTACCCATTTGGATGCATTATCCAATTCTTCACAGCCTATATTTCCTCATAAACAGAGAGGCACAGCCCTTAACTCCAGAGTCTATGTGAGAATAAGCAAAGGAAGTAATTAGGCCCCTTACTGGTGGACTGTCTCTGACTCTAGGGATGTTTTGGCTGACAAGAAAATGATACCAGGATAAGACAAATATTTTGGAACTCCTAAATAGAGGAAGTCTGGAAGAGAGCAGTTCTTTCAGGTTCATTCAGTGACCACCTGTCAGGGATTGCTGCCAGTTGGAAGATGGCATGGAGCACAGAGGTTAGGAAGTCCAGCTTCGGAGTCGGTGTTCATGAGTTCAAATAGAGCCACCAACAAGCATTAGCTCTGTGACCTTGACTTGGTTATCTATCCATTGTGTCTAAGCTGCCTCATTAATAAGATGGGATCATAGTTTCCTCCTGAAATGTTTCTAGAGAGGACAAAATGACTTAATATACCTGTGACCAGTTTGCTAGTGAGCTGGGCTGGGCAGGGTGCTTGCGGAATGCACCAGAATTCTTCCTTTCCAAACCTACTCTGACTTGAATCTTCCTCCTCATCCTAGACGAAACTCCCCAGATTATCCACTAGATGGCAGACATTCCCCAAGTTGTAACAATGAAAATGTCCCCTAGGGGGCAGAATTTCCCCCGGTTGAAAAATCACTGAATTAGACTGTTCAGGTAAGATTACCAAAATTTTCAGTTTTCCAAATTAGACACTTTAAGCTCCCTGCATTCTTGATTTAAAGAGGCACTAATCTCTCTCATCCTCTAAAAACTCATTAACTTTTTTCAGTCATCTCATATTCTATTTCATAGCCTGGATAAGAGGGATGATGAACTAAGAGGGCAAAATCTGGCTTTGACCACCCCCAGCAACCCTGCACAAATAATCTTTTTTTTCCTAGAATGTGGGGGCATTTGTCAGCTTTTTTACTCCACATTTGTTGCAAGAGAAGACACGTTTATTTCAAGCACACCGTGGGTACAGAAAAGGGGCTATGTTGAATATTAGATTCAGGGACAGCATAACTAATTTAAAACCAATGTGCATGGCATTGAGAAAAACACTCTTTCCATAAGAAGAAAAAAAATGTTTTAAGCACATAGAGTGTACCTAATAAAATGACTTTTGAGGGTGGGTTTAGAGTGAAAAGGACTGGGAAGTTCTCCACGTCCCCCAGCAAGGGCTCTGATTCCATTATAGACGTTCATGCAGTTGAGAGTCATTCTAGCACTGCCCTGGTCTTTCACTCCCTAGGATGAAAGGCGTGCGGGAGAAAGAAGTGAGAGCTGGTGACTAGGAAGAAAGGCAGATGAGGAGAAAGAGGAAGTAATTATTCTCACTTCTTTTTAGTCTGCCTCAGTCTTCAAAAGAGCGTTTACATTCAGAAATGCTTGGGGGTGGGGGGTGTTCGTGTTTGTGTTTGTTTGTTTTGTTTTGTTTTGAGATGGAGTCTCACACTGTGGCCCAGGCTGGTATGCAGTGGTGTGATCTCGGTTTGCTGCAAGCTCTGCCTCCCAGGTATAAGCGATTCTCCTGACTCAGTCTTCCAAGTCGCTGGGATTACAGGCACCTGCGACCACACTGGGCTAATTTATTTTTGTATTTTTATTAGAGACGGGTTTCACTATGTTGGCCAGGCTGGTCTCGAACTCCTGACCTCGTGATCCACCCACCTTGGCCTCCCAAAGTGCTAGGATTACAGGCATAAGCCACCGTGCCTGACCTACAGGGATGGTTTTGTAAATGGATGGCTTGGTTGTATTTCAAAATAGTAAGTCTAACTTAATGGAAGAAAAAAAAGACATGTAATTCAATAATATTTTATTGTCAATAGCATAGGAGAAATTCAATATTGAACCTCAGAACAAGAAAAATCTATTTACAATGAATGGCAAGGAAGAGATGGGAGAAGAAATGCCACAAAATCTTCAGTAAATACATATTTTTTGTAGAGAAGTAATCCATGAACCTGCCACCAGTCTAGTGCCAACCAAATGACCAGGTGGGACAGCTATCAAAAATGAAAGTGAATTTTTAATAAGATCTGAACTTTGCCTTGGGGTCTTGCATTTCAGCTACTAGAGGTCTATAATTCCTTACCCAATATTCCAGAATCTGAGAAGTTCTGCGAACAAAGTGTTTTTGCAAGTTGGAGACATACTCATTTGGCAGCAAAATTTGACCCTGTATGGGCTACTTAGTCTTGATTTCTCTATTTTGTCTGAATATCCTACATTTTGTTGCAGTATATTAAGGTGTGGATTTATAGGGTGCTGCCCCAGATCCCATCAATGAAGTTTCATAACATACAGTGTGTGTACAATATTATCTTTTTAAAATCCCCAAAATTCAGAATTTGAATAAACACCTGCCTGCCAGAGCCGAACATCAGGACTTCTGGAGCTATAGTAACCTGAGCATGAGCTCAAGTTTCACTGGAACCAGGGCGGTTTCATGGTCCCATGCACCACAGTTTCTTTGGTCTTTCAGGGAAGTGAGAATGTCTGAAATATTCTCTATCCCAAAGAAGAAAGGCATTGTGCTGGGAAGAAGAGTCCCGGATCTTCCTCACAGGAACTTTCTTTGTGGAAGATTGTATTTCTGCCAACTACCTGGACAATTTGACAAATAATGAGGAAATATTTTTCCTCTAAGGTGATTCCTTTCCTTTAACAGCATGTATCATTGTCTTTAATGGGGAAAAAAAAGGAAACAAAAGATAGAAGTGGAAAAGAAAGGTCTATCTGTGTGGAGGCTACATATGACAAGTACTGGCAGCTTCCTAATCCAGCAACAGTAGCAATTTATTGTATCTAGAAAAGGACTCTCTGGATGCAGAGATTACAGAAATTGGCATCCACAGAAAGGTCAGGGGGACTTAACATGGGTTATGCCACTTAAGGAGAACAGAATTTGCCAAAGAAAATGATGTTTCGAGTTTTGTTGTGCCTGATGATGTAAATAAAGGGATGGTCAGCATTGAATTCATCCTTGTGCTGCAGGATCCGGGCTCCCGGCACCTCTATGGAATCCCCGCCATCTTCGGTTATTTCTAAGCACACTTTGTGGATAACATTTGATAAAGCCACTCCCTTGGTCTCTGACATTCCAGAGAAATCAGATGTGTCTTCACTGAAGACATGTTTCAGCCCTAGATTTTCCAGACTAGCCCTGGGATCAATTATCTTTTCCACCTTAAACTTGGGTATGGAGAGTTTGACTTTGGCGTTGGCCATGGTGCTGGGATTAGTCCACTGTGCCAGCGACTCTGAGTTCAGTTGTTTTTCGATCTGAAGGGCAAAAATGAAAAGACCTTATTTTTATTTATTTCCAATTGTAAAGGACCTGGCCGGATTAAAAACATAAAGTGTTATTATAAGCCCAGTTTCAAAGCAGTCTGGGTGGCACCTCAAAGATGGCCCAGAAGTTTCTGGTCTGTGACTCTTAGGAGACCCAGCAGCCCCCCAGCTGTGCCCTCCTCCTCCCCAACCAATAACAGTGTTCCCTGTGCACTGAAATTGATGAGGGTGGGGTTCTGTTTTTTCATTTTAACTTAGAGAATATCTTTTTTTGTTTTTTGGGTTTTTTTTTTTTTTTTTTTTTTTTTTTTGGCAGTCTTATTCTATCCCCAAGCTGGAGTATAATGTTCGATCTTGGTTCATTGCAATCTCGGCCTCCTGACTTCAAGGGATTCTCAGGCCTCAGCTTCTCAAGTAGCTGGGAGTACAAGTACATGCCACCACATTCAGCTAATTTGTGTGTGTGTGCATTTTTAGTAAAAACAGGGTTTCATCATGTGGACCGAACTGGTCTCAAACTCCTGGCCTCAAGTGATCTGCCAGCCTTGGCCTCCCAAAGTGCTGCGATTATAGGTGTGAGCCACCACACCCAACCTGAAGTTAGTGAGTAAATATACAGAAACAAATGCCTGAATTATGATGTTGCATACACAATAGTGAAATGCATATAAAATTAGAAAGCGTTTTATACATATTTCTGAAATCCTTATTATAATTTCTCTATGAGGAAATCCAGGATATTCATGTACTAGGAATGGCATCAGATTTAATAATTTAAATTAAAGTGAAAGTTACTTTTTTTTTAATGGGAGCCTGAACTAACTCTGAGCCATTTACTAAGGTCATAGGTGGTGAATGCATCCATTTTAGCTGGTTTAAAAAATGAAACAGATGCAATGAAGCATAAAATTACTTAGTTAAAAAATTTTTCATTGAGCAAACCTTAAATCGTTCCTCACCCTTCCAATCTCCCCCTGGCTACAGGAGAAACACACGTGCAACGGAGAACGATAAGCCCTTGACTTTCACTATTGAGGAGCAATACTGCATTGGCATTACTCCCGGGAAACCTATAAAAATCGGGGCTATGCCCAAGGTCACAAACTGGGTTGTGTTTTTGTTTGTTTGTTTTTGAGACAGAGTCTCACTCCATCGCCCAGGCTGGAGTGCAGTGGCGCCATGTCGGTTCACTGCAACCTTGGCCACCTGGGTTCAAGCAATTCTCCTGCCTCAGCCTCCCAAGTAGCTGGGACTACAGGCCTGCACCACTATGCCTGGCTCACTTTTTGGCATTTTTAGTAGAGATGGGATTTCACCATGTTGGTCAGGCTGCTCTCAAACTCCTGACTTCAAATGATCCGCCTACCTCGGCCTCCCAAAGTGCTGGGATTAGAGGCATGAGCCACCGAGCCCAGCCTGTTTGTTTTTTAATATAGGAGGGAACCATTAGAGTCTCTTACTAATCTGTTATTATTACTTTTCAATGGCTACTGTTTCAAATTTTGGACAAATTATTAGGACCAAAAGATTGTCTTAAGTAACTAGAGTTTTTGAACCAACTAGTACATTCCTTGTCCACTTACGCCCAGGAGTGGGATGAAGAGAGAAAATACATTTAAACTAAAAAAGACCACTTAAAAGGAAAAAAAAATCCCCCAGTGAATATGAGTTGAACTGTACATCCCAATTTGTGTGTTGAAGTCCTAGAGGAAATACCTCGGAATGTGACAAGACTTGCAAATAGGTCGTTGCACATGTGATTAGTTATGAGGGGTCTTTGGGTGGGCCCTGATCCAAAATGACGGTGTCCTTCTAAAAGGGGAATTGGATGCAGACACAGCCATGCACACAGGAAAACACCACAGGAAGATGAAGGCAGAGATGGACGAAAACACCTACAAGCCAAGGAGCACCAAAGATTGCCGGCGACCCCCCGCAGCTGGGAGGCAGACACAGATCAGTCGCTGCCAACATGGTGAAACCTCGTCTCTACTAAAAATACAAAATTAGCCAGGTGTGGTGGCACATACCTGTACTCCCAGCTACTCAGGAGGCTGAGGCAGGAGAATCGCTTGGACCAGGGAGGTGGAGGTTGCAGTGAGCCAAGATTGCACCATTGCACTGCAGCCCGGGCGACAGAGCAAAACTCTGTCTCAGAAAAATAAAAGAGAAAGAAAGAAAAAGAGCAAGAGAGAGTATGCTTGATATCAGGTCACATGATAGTGGACCTGGCAATGAGTAGCAATGTAGTGCCTTACTGCTGGGGAGATGAGGGAGGCACTCTAGCCTTCAGTTAGGAACCTGGCTCCGGGTTGGGCGTGGTGGCTCACGCCTCTAATCCCAGCACTTTGGGAGGCCGAGGCGGGTGGATCACGAGGTCAAGAGATCGAGACCATCCTGGCCAACATGGTGAAACCCCATCTCTACTAAAAATACAAAAAAATTAGCTGGGGCATGGTGGCGTGTGCCTGTATTCCCAGCTACTCAGGAGGCTGAGGCAGGAGAATTGCCTGAACCCAGGAGGCGGAGGTTGCGGTGAGCCGAGATCGCGCCATTGCACTCCAGCCTGGGTAACAAGAGCGAAATTCCGTCTCAAAAAAAAAAGAAAGAACCTGGCTCCAACTACACAGGCTCCAATCCTGATCCCGCACACACCGATAACTGATTATGTGACCACAGACCAGTCTCCGACCTCTCTGTGCCTCAGCTCCCTCACTGGTAACCAAGAGTGTGGTACAAGTCTCTAACTCATAAGCCTGCTGTAAGAATTAGATGAGATAATACATGTAGGCAACTCAGCACAGTCCCTAGGACACTGTAACTGCCAAATAAATGTTGGCTGTTTTTACTATTAAGGAGGAAAGGCCCCGGAAAGAACTATGGGCCCTTGGAGGTGACTGAGCCAGTGGCGATAAGGGAGGGCTGTGGGCCCAGCTCTGACGGCCCACACGGCCCTGTTCATGCAACTCTTTGCCAAGGCAGGGGGTGCCTTTGTGGAGAGTGCCAGCCTCCTCCTTACCTCCTCCAAGCCCGTGGACTCGTCCTCCACATCCTTGGGTAGCAGGATGAACATGCTGAGGTGTTTATTTTGAAAAGGAAGCTCTATGATCTTACAATTGATACTGTCAATGTTTCCCATACAGAACGTGGCCTCCGTGTTCATCATCTGCACTGGTTTGGTGTCAGTCTGTAAAAGGAAAAATTTGGACTGCTTACTTTTCAATTTATACAAGCATAAATATACACACACACACACACACACACACACACACACACACACATACCCACATGTATACATACAGATGCACATACATATATACATAAACCTATATATACATATACACATACACATATATATGCATACACACATATATACATACACATACATTTATACACACACCTATATATACCCCATATATATATACACACACATGCACATATATACACACGTATATATGCAAACACATAAATATATATATACATATATATATACACAGTTTTACTCTTGACACAGTGTCAGATTATTACAGTTTGTGATCCATCATCCACTGAGATCCAAACTGTCCTGCACCCAAACCAGTGACTGTCCTGTAAAGAGTTTGTGTTCCTTTGAAAAGTTATTCATGTACTTTGTAATCTACATGTTACACATTACAGGAACTATATATAATGCTGTTTTTGCATAGATCAAACCTTAAAAATAAGACTGTATGGCTGAAAATATAGGCAATGTTTTTTTTTTTTTTTTTTTTTTTTTTTTTTCTTTTGAGACGAAGTCTTGTTCTGTCGCCAGGCTGGAGTGCAGTGGTGCAACCTCAGCTCACTGCAACCTCCGCCTCCTGGATTCAAGCAATTCTTCCGCCTCAGCCTCCCAAGTAGCTGGGACCACAGGTGCGTGCCACCATGCCCGGCTAACTTTTTTGTATTTTTAGTAGAGATGGGGTTTCACCATGTTGGCCATGATGGTCTCAATCTCTTGACCTCGTGATCTGCCCACCTCAGCCTCCCAACGTGCTGGGATTACGGGCATGAGCCACCGCACCCAGCCTGTTATTCTTTATAGATGCCTATGAGATCTTTAAACTATTCCTGGTGGAGCTGACCTGAAAGTAAATTCTACTGAAAACCCACATAACCATTTAAATGGTTTTTCCTAATAAAATACCTAATTTCAAAAACTGGCTGAGCGCAGTGCCTCACGCCTATAATCCTGCACTTTAGGAGGCCACTTGAGGTCAGGAGTTCAAGTCCAGCATGGCCAACATGGTGAAACCCCGCCTCTAAAATACAAAAATCAGCCAGGCATGGTGGCACACGCCTATAACCCCAGCTACTTGGGAGGCTGAGATAGGAGAATTGCTTGAACCTGGGAGCCAGAAGTTGGTGTGAGCCAAGATTGCACCACTGCACTCACTCCAGCCTGGGCAACGAAGCGAGATTCTGTTTCAAAACAAAACAGAACAATAACGACGACAAACCTAGCATATAGCAGAACACAACAGTACTTGTTCTGACGTCTCTTTGGTTTGAATCGCCCACTCCCAGCTGTACTACCACCTACTGGGATCTGAGCTAATGAACGAAGTCTAGATTGAAGATAAGAACCTTGGTTTTTAGTCCCAAATGTGAGATTCTGTGGCCTTGAGCAAATCACTCAGTCTCTCCAGGCCTCAGTATTCTTATCAGTAGAATGAAGAAATTGTAAATTCAGAATAATGGTTACCACTGGGGAGGAAGAAAGAGGAACAGGACAGTGGAGGGAGCAGTGAAGGAACATCCACAAAGCAATGCAACCGTTGTTACAGTTTTTCTTTAAGATATCTGAAATAAGTAAGGTAAAGTATTAAGGGCACAAAGATGGTTAATCGGAATATGGGTGTTTGTTTCATTATTCTCTCTCATTTTCTGAATACTTGGAGTATTGCATGATTTTTAAAAAGGAAAATCTTTTTTAAACTTGTCTCTAAGTCTTTTTAAAATTATCTCTAGGACAGGCATAGTAGCTGATGCTTGTAATCCCACTACTTTGGGAGGCCAAGGCAGGTGGATCAAAAGATCAGAAGTTCAAAACCAGCCTGTCCAACACAGTGAAATCCCATCTCTACTAGAAATACAAAAATTAGCTGGGTGTGGTGTTGGGCGCCTGTAATCCCGGGTACTCGGGAGGCTGAGGCAGGAGAATTGCTTGAACCTGGGAGGCAGAGGTTGCAGCGAGCCAAGATAGTGCCACTGCGAGCCAAGATAGTGCCACTGCCCTCCAGCCAGCCTGGGTAACAAAGCAAGACTCCATCTCAAAAAAAAAAAAAAATCTCTAAGTCCCTTTGAGCTCCACTGCATGCCCTACTCTTCTTAAAGGGAACCAATGAAGGGTCTGGTCGCTCGGATCTTTACCTCCAAGCACTGCCCAGGCCTTTTCTTTTCTTTGTCCCTATTAACAGCTGGCCTCCTGTCCTCCAGAGGGGACTGATTTCCTGAAGGAAAAGGCATTCACACTAAGATGTAAAAGACTGACAGTAATGTAGTTTAACTTATTACCTTGACATATCCCTCCCACAGGATATTTGCCTGTTACCTAAGTCTCTCTGGGGAGAAAGTTCAAGCTTCATGTCAAGCCTGAAAGGATAACACTGCAGTAAACTCGCATCTGGTATCTTCAGACAATAAGCTGAACCTTCCCCAATACCTTTCTCAAGCAGGGATAAACCTCATTTATTTTACTTCTGTATATACCTCTGTTTTACTTGCCACAGTGTTAGAAATATTATCTAGTGATTGTCTTTCCACTTCCCGCCCCAACGAGAATACGCAAGGCAGAAACTAAGTCTTATTTTCTATCCCAGCTTGTAGTTTTCACTGAATATTTGGTTGATAAATAATGGAGGACTTCAACTCTACGTGTAACCAGAGACAGAATAACAGGAAAACATACTACTTTGGAAGTTAACAGATAATTCTTCCCTTTATTTCTCCTAAAGAGAATATTGCCTTAAAATATATTCCTCCTTAAGAAATTTTTCTAAAAATCTCCAACAGGTTAGACTGCTAATAGTTTCTGAATGTGCATATAGTTGTGGCCTCCAAAAACTGCCATCAATTTCACTTATGGGCACTGACTCTAGGTACTTTATTTTCTGAAACCCATGTTGAGACATATCTTCTGAAAAGAGGACCAAATAAAGACTATCCATCCCAGAAAATAGAATATGACATATATCCTAATATAAATATATATGGATAGATATCTTTATCAGAATAAGTACTATACTAAACTTTTAATAACATAACTTCGCCAATTTAGTCTAACCCTTACTGGGGACACCATGAGAAAAGGCTTAGTAGTGTCACTCAAAAAGTTCAAGGCCTGACAAAGCCATTCAAAGAAAACAAAGAAGAAGTAATAGCATCTGCATTCAAAGAAAGGGTGTAGCTTCATGCAGCTGTGAGTACCATTTTATTGCCTTATTAAGTGAAACACTGAGAGATCAATGACATTTCAAACTCTTATTAATTCTGTCCATAAAGGCTGAGTTTCCAGGATCTTATATAACCTAGCTTTGTGATTTAATAGCAAGAATAAAGGAATAGCATACATTCTCCCTCCCTTCTCAAAAAACACACATTAACACTTTCTTAATGAAGAAAGTATGACCCTTAGTGTGGTTGACACAAAAGTCTACATTTTACTCATCGACTATTGCAACGTTTTTGTGGTGTTCCTTCCAGGCTGGCTCTGAGGATTTGATGAGAGGCACCATTGGCAACCTGTTTCAGATTTCACACAAACAGAATTAGGAACCCTTTGCCAGCCCTTGCCAGGGAAGAGAGCCAATCACTGATCAAAGGAGCCAGAGCGGCCACTTCATGACAGCAAACGCTGTGTGGATGCCGTCAGGGCCAGTGGGGCCAGCACCACCACCCCAAACTCACAGCAGAGGCTGGGTAAAGTCACGTTCCACTTCCACTCCAGATGAAAGATAACACTGAGAAGATCTAAAAGCCATGCTTAAAATTCAAGTACCTGTGTGTCTCCAGAATCTCATCAGACCTTTTGTGTGCGGGGTCAGTCTTGTCCCTGCAGTCAGCTTTGAGAAGACCACTGCAGTTGGGAAGCTAAGCTCAGGAAGGTAAGAGGACCTCCTACCCACCCCTCAGCACCCATGGATATTTTGAGTCAGCAAGGAGCAATAACAATCATCATTGTCTTCTCCCAGTGAAAATGCCCAATGGGTCTTGCATAGGAACCCACGGTAGTCCCAAAGGCCACTCAGTTTCTGTCTGCTGTTGATTGTTTAGACAAACTGACCCTTAGGAACTGATCATTCATTCAACAAATTTGCTGAGTACCTACTGATGTGTTAGGAACTTGGCCAGAAATTGTAGACACTGAGATGAATAAGGCATTGTCCCTACCTTAAAAATCCCATGCACTACTAGGGGATCTATGTAAGTAAACAGATTTCACTGTGGAAAGCATATTCTGGCAGGGAACAGGGGAGAGTATGAATAAAAATTCCATGGGAACAAAGAAAGAGTAATGGAAGCCATCCAGCTAACCCAGGTATAGATTGTATCTTGCAGAGCTTTCCTCATGGATGTTAGCATTAAGAAGGTGCTACTATATTTGGCAAAAACAAGATATTGATGCTAGGTACTCTAAGTACTGGGAGAAATGTGAAAGCTAGAACTGATGCATAGGAGCTACAAGGTAATAACTAAACTACCTTCAAGTATGGTACGAACTAAAGGGCTGATTTCAGTCTAATACAAGTCAGATCCCACCCAGGGAGACCACATCAGGTTATCATATAGATCTCTGGATTTTCCTAGGGTTTCTAATGAAATAGTTGAAATTTCTAGTCTCAGTTCCTTGGTCTCATTTACAAAAGAGGTACTTAACCTACTTTTAGTAATTGTTTTTGACATATTTACTTCACTAGTATCAATGAGATTGGCCTGCAAAACAGGCTCTTAATTCTTCCCATAATGACTCCCAGTGGTGCTGATGAGAAGCTATTCTTTGTTTTTTTCACAGTCAACGAGTGCTTCAAAGCATCTTTTTTTTTTTTTTTGAGATGGAGTTTTGCTCTTATTGCTCAAGCTGGAGTGCACTGGTGCAGTCTCAGCTCACCGCAACCTCTGCCTCCCAGGGTCAAGCAATTCTTCTGCCTCAGCCACCCAATAGCTGGGATTACAGGCACCCGCCACTATGCCCAGCTAATTTTTGTATTTTTAGTAGAGACAGGCTTTCACCATGTTGGCTAAGCTGGTCTCCAACTCCTGACCTCAAGTGATCTGCATACCTCAGTCTCCCAAGGTGCTGGGATTGTAGGCATGAGCCACCATGCCCTGCCATCAAAGCATCTTATAAATTAAAATCCCCAGACCATATACTTCACTATCAACAGATAAGAAAATGAGATCCTAGGGAAGTTAATCAGGAAAAAGATGCCTAAATAGTCAAAGTTTCATGATAATCCAAAGTCCTCCGATAATAGAGTTTGGTCTTTTTTCTTTTTTTTTTTCTTTTCTTTTTCTGCTAAAGTTCTCAGAAGTTTGTAGCTATTTTTCAGCCAGAAACTTAGCTTTACTCACTGGGTTACAAGATCTATAAAGTTTCACTCAGCTCAGATCCTTGAAGACATTATGGAAAACAGGAGGCCCTCTGGATTTTGGCTCTTTTTGTACCACTTATCTCCCAGCTGCTCATCTCAGGAAAAGCACATGGCCAGCCGTGCCCTCAGATTCCTCACTGCAATGGATTTATGATCCCCTCTCTCCCTATTATTTTTCACTTCTATCACTGGGCTCCTTTTACTGTTACATGCTGTCCCATATACCTTGTTGACTCTGAAGGGACATTCTTTGGTTTCTGATTCAGGAAATTTCTTCATCCACTTTCCAACAAAGTAGGCGGCATTCACCACAAGGATTTTGGTCTGGTCGTTCGCACTATTGTCAGCTAAAATGTTCTCAAAGTGGCCTGCAACAATTTCAGGAAAACACAAAGAGCAGAATTAATCTTCCAAACTACATCTGGGATTTACATGCATATTTGCTGAGTATTTACCACTTCATGGAGTCACACCATGTAAGGCCTGGTAGTTCCAACCATCAAATTTCAGAAGGATTACTTTCTCTTAGTCTACCTTGACACAACCACATCTCCCAAAGATGTCAAGAGAGAATGAAGGAGTGTGAGGAAAAAGGAAGAAGAAAGGAAGAAAAAAAGACGGAAAATGGCTGGGCACAGTGGCTCATGCTTGTAATCCCAGCACTTTGGGAGGCCAAGGCAGGAAGATCACTTGAGGTCAGGAGTTCGAGACCAGCCTGACCAATATGATGAAACCCCGCCTGTACTAAAAATACCAAAATTAGCCAAGTATGATGGCATGCACCTGTAATCTCAGCTAGTCGGGAGGCTGAGACAGGAGAATCGCTTGAACCCGGGAGTTGGAGTTTGCAGGGAGCTGAGATTATGCCATTGCACTCCAGCCTGGGCAACAAGAGCGAAACTCCATCTCAAAAAATAAAATAAAGAAAGGAAAACACAGCTACCATTCTGAATGCCTATTCTGTGTCAGGCAGTATACAAGCTATTTAATACACATGATATATATTTCTCCCTGGTTTATAAATGAGGAAGCTAAGACTCAGTGATGTGAAGTCACTCTCCCAGGATGATATATAAATGAGGGTGGATTCAGGATTCAAAGCCAGGTCTTTCTGACTCCAAAGCCTGCGCTCTTGAATGAAAATGCATCATCACTTTCTTTCCTCCAGAATTTCACATATATTATCTCACTCTGTTCACAATGGTCCTATAAGGCAAAGATCATTATCTCCATTTTACAGTGCAGTAAACTGAGGCTCAGAAGAGCTGTTCTAGTTTCCTTAGCTAGAAAGCATGTCAGAAGGTTCTCCCCTTCACCCCACAGCTCTCCATCCTCTCCCTCGATTGCACACCTTGTAGGCAAGCCGGTTGCCTCAAGGTAAACTGTAATTACCGTGGGGCTCAATCACAACTACAAGTGTTATAAAGCTCAAATCCCAACAGCCAAAACAGTTCAAGGGGAGTGATCCCTTAATAAAAAGAACTCCTCACATTTGAATAGCCCACAGGTTTTTTTTTATAAAGGATTTCCATTCACCTAATCTTCTCTAATTTTCAGACCAATGCTCAGGGCCCACTTCACAGGCTTGTAACTGAAGAGCCCTGCATTTGGTTTAATGTTCAGCTATCACCATCTTAAAATTCTTAATAAACGTTTAAACAAGAGGCCAGGCCCTGCATTTTTACTTTTGCCCTGGCCCATGCAAATTATGTAACTGCTGCCAACGCTATATAATATGCTGAATACATATTAGTGTTATTGAAGAAATCTGAAGAACAAAGAAGTGTGGGAGCCAGTAAACGCCAGAGCTTCAGCTTCAATCCTGAGCCTCCTATTTCAAATTCAGAAGTCTTTTCATGGCTAGACATGATGGCTTACACCTGTAATCCCAGCACTTTGGGAGGCTGAGGCGGGTGGATCACCTGAGGTCAGAAGTTTGAGACTAGCCTGGCCAACGTGGTTAAACCCCGTCTCTACTAAAAATACAAAAATTATCTGGGCATGGTGCCTGTCGTCCCACCTACTCGGGAGGCTGAGACAGGAGAATCCTTTGAACTCTGGAGGCAAAGATTGCAGTGAGCCAAGACAGCACCACTGCACTCCAGCCTGGGTGACAGAGCAACATTTCATCTTAAATAAATAAATAAAGGCATTCACAGTAACTTGGATGGAGCTGAAAATCATTTTTCTTTTTTGTTTGTTTGCCTATTTTGGAGACGTGGTTTTGCTCTTGTCGCCCAGGCTGGAGTACAATGGTGAGATCTTGGCTCACGGCAACCTCTGCCTTCCAGGTTCAAGCTATCATCCTGCCTCAGCCTCCCAAGTAGCTGGAACTACAGGTGCATGCCATAGTGCCTGGCTAATTTTTGCATTTTCAGTAGAGACGTGGTTTCAGCATGTTGGCCAGGCTGGTCTCGAACTCTTGACCTCAGGTGATCCACCTGCATCAGCCTCCCAAAGTGCCAGGATTACAAGCATGAGCCACCACGTTCAGCCTGAAGACCATTATTCTAAGTGGAGTAACTTAGGCATGGAAAACCAAACATTGTATGTTCTCACTTATAAGTGCGAGCAAAGCTATGAGGATGCAAAGTCATAATAATGAAATAATGGACTTTGTGGGGTGGGGAAAGAGTGGAAAGGGGTGAGGGATAGAAGACTACACATTGCATACAGGTACACTGCTTGGGTTACGGGTACATCAAAATCTCAGAAATAACCGCTAATGAGCTTATCCATGTAATCAAAAACCACCTGTTCCCCAAAATCTATTAAAACAAAACACAATATAATACAATTTAAAAAATTAAATCAGGTAACATGTGCATCAGTAAATTGAAGTTTTGTGTCCAAATATCAGTCAGTAAGTACCAGTGTCTGGATTCGAACCTAGATCCTGAATGACTCCAGAGTCCCTATTCTTTCCATGTTCTCACCCTGCACTTACTGTCCTGTTAGAACTTCCTCAGTCCAGAGGGAGAACAGCTGGGGATGGTAGTCATTCTCACAGGAAGTGGGTCTCCCTTGCCCCGGAAGTGTAATCCTCCCCAGACAGCAGCGACTGATTAGGTTTCATTCTTTCATGACTAGATTCGGCCTCCCACCAGATCCCTCCTGATGCCATTATAAATATATCCACTGGAAGGGGGACATAGTCACTGGTTTGCTCTCAAAATCATCATAACCCTAATGCTTTTCCAGCAAGGCAGACGACTCGCCGGGAATTTAATGGAGGGACGAGAAGGACAAGGGAGACACCTGGCGGAAAGCACTGAGCCGGAGAAGGAACCGGTTCGCAGCTTCATGGACGCCGGGGCTGTCAGAGGAGCGACCGGCATGGAGAGCTGCGACACCGAGAACAAGCTGACACTACGGTGTGGTGTGGTTTGGTTTGCTTTGGTTTGATTGACTAGCTGACGCCACGGTTTGGTTTGGTCCAGTCTGGTCTGGTGTGGCTGACAAGCTGACACTACGCTTTGGTTTGATTTTCCTGTAGGCGTGTTGCCTGGGTCCCTTTTCCTTAACAACTTTGTAAAACTTGTCAGCTGAAAGGGGCCTCGGGGATCATGAAGTTATAATCCAGTCCCTCCATTTCCAGACTGAAAAATGGCCTCATGATTTGCCCAAAGCCATACTTTGTTAGAGGCACAGCTAGGGCTCCACCACGGCCTGTGGCAGCTCTTCGGAGAGCGAGAGAAAGCAGACTAAAACTGAAGCCCCAACAGTTTCTCCCACGTGATGAGATGATGCAAGACACGCCCAGAAATACAAGTTGTTTACTTGGTTTGAAGGGAAAGAATTTAGCTTGTGTAGTAAAAATATCCAGAGAATCCTCCAGATGTTTTTTTTTTTTTTTTTTTTTTTTTGAGACGGAGTTTCGCTCTTGTTACCCAGGCTGGAGTGCAATGGCGCGATCTCGGCTCACCGCAACCTCCGCCTCCTGGGTTCAAGCAATTCTCCAGCCTCAGCCTCCTGAGTAGCTGGGATTACAGGCACGTGCCACCATGCCCAGCTAATTTTTTGCACTTTTAGTAGAGACGGGGTTTCACCATGTTGACCAGGATGGTCTCGATCTCTCGACCTCGTGATCCACCCGCCTCGGCCTCCCAAAGTGCTGGGATTACAGGCTTGAGCCACCGCGCCCGGCCAGATGTTGTTTTATGCTTGGAGCAAGCATCTATGAGATGGAAGGCCTTGTTTACTTGGTGATTGACAGCAGAACAATTAAAGGGTACTTGCCGTCTGTGAGATCCTTAATTGAGTTGTTGATCTGACCTTTCGTTTCTTCCAATTTATCTTTGAAGTCAACAGTTTCCAATTCCTTGGCATAGGGTCTCTTTGTAGAGCTGATGAACTCCTGAAAAACATGCAGTTCATAAAATCACGAAGTCTATAATCAAGTTATGGCATTGTTATGCTGTTCCAACAAAAGGATTATTAAATATTAACTGCTATGTGTACACTAAGTTGGAACACTGTATGAATTGAAACCTCATGTAGAAGACAGTGAATTTCTTTGTATTGAAGGTTTCATTTTTTTCAATTATAAGACAATTTCAATTATTAAATGCATCTATCAATTTAATATCAGCTTTGGGGAAAACAAAAGAAACACTACGTTAAGTATACCCAATTATCTTAAAGGCTCTAACTTCAGAAATATTAAAATGTCGTATGTATACAGACACATATGTATTAGAATATAGGAAATGTAAAGAAAAGAGAATGAGCAGAAAACTCTTGTCCTTGCTAAACTAAATAAATATTCTGTAGACCCTTGCTACTCAAACTGTGGTCCAAAGTGGCATATAGCATCACCTGAGACCTTGTTAGAAATGAAGAATCTCAGACCCCACTCCAGACGTACTGAATCAGAGCGTGCATTTTAACAAAATTTCTAGGTATGCCATCTGCAAATTGAGGTTGCAAACGCAATGCTGTAGAAAACATAGCAGGGGTTCTTACTCTAACACTTATTTAAAATGTGCAACCCTAAATCCCATTCCCATCTTGATGCAATCAGAACTACCTGGGTGTTAAAAGGGCCTCAAGAATTTGCCCTTTTAACTCCCAGGTAGTTCTGGTGCAAGAGATCCTCCAGAGACCACACTTGTTTGGACCTTTAATTAGTAAAATTACTGATGCTGTGCACTAGCAGGAGCAATGGAAAGCAGTCTTTTAAAAGATCTTTTGCAGTGAGCCAAGATCATGCCACTGCACCCCAGACTGGGCAACAGAGCAAGATTCTAACTCAAAAAAAAAAAAAAAAAAAAAAAAAAAACCTTTACAATTCCCAGTCTGGTTAAGATAATTCCAGATGTTGCATGGAAGTTCAACCAAACCAAATATAACTCGCTTCAATGTCATGTTAGTTCACTTCCAAACACAGGGCTCCTTGAATTTCCTCAGAGCAGCTACAGCCTTAGCCAATTAACTTAGCTTCAGTTAATTGCAAATCAACCTTGGGACTGACTGTCACCATTGACCGAGAGAACCAATCTCACCTAAAAACATTAGAAAGCCTCAGCCAGATGAAGAAGGGCCTCCATTGTCCTCACTGCCAGCAATAAAAATGTGTTAATCGTCTCCTTAATGATCATTTAGGGAGCTTCTAGAAATTTTGTATGCTTAGGCTTCAACTCACAGCTCAGGTGTTTTTTTTTTTTTTTTAATTCTCCAAGTAATTTTTGGAATAAAAATACTTGTGTATATGTATCTTTAAGCCACAAAAAATATACTTACAATATCTAGTAACCCATGTCCTCAAAAGATCTTAACCGCAGAAACAAATATTTACTGCAGAAAGTTCAAAATCATGGTAAAATATTCAAAAGCTGGTAGTCTAGCTTTTAGATTTGGAAAGCTTGAAATTCTGACCATCCAAGCAGGAAATAAATTAACTATATGTTACTGAAGTGCATGCAGAGAGAACTTTCATGTAGTCTAGAATATTGTCTATGTTTCAAATACAGATTTTTTAAATATTACCAGAGCTGCCTGTGGAGATCCCTACCTGACCAGCCCAGCAAACAAAACTAATTTGTGACTGATGAAAACTGTGAATTAATAGTTATTATTTTTCTTAGTGATTTTGAGAACATCAGAACAACATTGTGTGCATAATAAATGAAGTGGAGAGCTAAAAACATTGCCCCAGCCCATATGCCCTGCTGTTTAAGGAGAAAAAGGTTAAATCATGAGCTGTCTTACACTCCTCGTCTATGGAGCTACATTTATTAGAGAGTTTAATAATTATTCTGTCCTCCATTCTCTCAGAGGAAGCTAAAACGAAGGGTAAGATTTATTTGAGAGGGAAAAGGAAAGCCCATAAGCTTCTCTGTATTTTGAGTTAGAAGACATGACTGCAATTGATTCCCACTATACTCAACCTCTCCACCAGGATTTATTTAAGAAGCCTCAAATCATAAGTGAACATCCTAGAAATGAATTTCACTGAAAAAAAAAAAAGTTGTAGTTCTAACAGCATGAAAATGCCATGCCTGGTAAAAAGTTAAGTCTTGCTACTTGCTTTAAACAACTTACTGTAGAAAGATTCAGAGATTTGTCTACGTAGAGCCGCTTGATTAGTTTCAGTGAGTAAAAGGAACTAAGTTTGTTTACATCCGATGTTACTGTTTGAAATCCAAAGGGCACATCTTTGACATTTTCAAAATGAAGAACCTGTTAAGAGAAAAATCCATTACCCAAAAATTATTGCCTCTGAATGGTGCTGCACTGAAGTGGACACATGATAATGACCAACATCATTGGAAATACAGAACCTTCCTGTCCAGTTCCCATAAAACAAGGCTCCTTAACCTCAGTGCTATTGACACTCAGGGTGGATGAGTCTTTGTGGGGCTGTCCTGGGCACTGTAGGATGCTTAGCAGCATCCCTGACCTCCTAGATGCCAGTGGCATTCCCCCCTATTTAAGACAACTCAAAATGTCTCCAGGCATTGCCAGATATCCCCAGAGTGGGAAGTGGAAGACAAATTGTCCCTGTTGAGAAACACTATCATAAAGGTACTCTTCCTAACCAACTATTGAGAACATTTGTCCTTTCTTCAAAGTGATGCCCTTAATACTCACACAGAGATTTTTCCAAACTTGGAGAATGATGAAGCTGGATTATAATTTCTATCCGATTTAGAGACCAGAAGAGAGAGATTAATACCAAGAGAGACCATCATCAGGCAGGAATCAGATTTCTGGACAGAGATACCTCTAGGCAGAGTTTGTCTAGTTCCTCTAGGTGTTTTAGCAACTGTCAGGTGAACAGATGTGTCATTTCTGATGGGCAGCTACAATAAATGATGGGCTGCCCTGGGTGGGCTAGAGTCAGACTGAATCTGAGCTTCCACCTACTAGAAATGTAATCTTCTCCAACTCTTCAGAGCCTCCTTTCCTCTCTGTAAAATGGGCTGAGAATACTTGCTTTCCTGAGTTGTTATAAGGACTACTTATATGTAAAACACCTAAAATATTATATGTATTCAAACTTATTATTCTTGTAATAATATTGTAAACCATTTAAAACCAGAATACTATCATTTGGAAGGCTTAAATCATTGTATTTTGTTCCTAACTTTTTTGTTGTTGTTCCAACAAATAGTCCAGCATCTTTTCTGCCTTGAAGCACCACAACATGTAATGTCAGCATAAGATTATACCCTTCTCACTCCATAACTCATAATAGCTCTGCCCTGATTCCGCAACTCAGATAACGAACACCACCAACCCGGCACATTGTGCCAGTGAATCACGTAGCCTCAGCATTGCAGGGTCAACTGGGCTGGTCCCGGGCAGTGCACAACTCTCATGCCTAAAGATGGATGAAGGAGACCAAAAAATTGAAGGGCACAACAGTTGCTTGAACCTGGAGGTTGCAGTGAGACAAGATTGCGCCACTGCACTCCAGCCTGGGCAACAGAGTGGGACTCTTTTCTCAATAAAAAAAAAAAAGAGAGAGAGAGGAGAGAGTCCTGGAATGGCACAGCTCTGAATCTTGACCAATTCTGACCACACAGTCTCCATTCCTTTTCTCCCTAGGAACTGCCTGTGGGTCCTAATAACTGTATTCCCACTTAAAGTAGAAACAAGGTTTGGGGCTTACCTTTCCAATTTCATTTGCAGTGTCACCTTTAGCACCCACTTGAGCAAGTGACAGAGAGGTAGAGAGACAGATTGGAGAGAAGAGGACGTTGCCCACTGGCTCCTTTTCACATAGTTCTTTGAACATGTCAACAGCAAAAGCCGAATTGGCCAGTTGCAGGGCATCCATTGTGGTCCTGGAAGCAAGGACGAGGGAGAGGTTAATTCCTAAAGCATCTTTCAAGGCCTCTCAACTGCATTCTGCCAACCCAATAAGAATTCTGCTTAAACAAAGTAATGATCTCCGACAGAATAAACAAGGAACTTTCTGTAAATTCAAAAGTAAGATTAGTTGTGAAGAAACTTCTAGGCAAAAGTTAAAATTTTTATAAAGCAAAAACTATCAAACTGCAGCACTTTTGCATGGTTCAATCTAATATTTACTAAGTGTTATGGGTTGAATTGTGTCCCCCCAAAAGATATGTTAAGTTCTAATCCCCATTACCTGTGAATGTGACCTTATGTGGAAAAGGGGTATTTCCTGTTCCTTAACTAATATGTAATTAGTTAAGATGAACTCACATTGGAGTTAGGTGGGCCCTAATCCAACATGACTGATGTCCTTAAAGGAATAAGAGAAGAGACACAGAAACCGACATACACAAGGGAAGATGTGAAGTCACAAATGTCTTGACCTGTGTAAGGGACGTGCCTTACGGCAGTGGAGGCAGAGATTGGTGGGATGCTTCTGCAAGCCAAAGAATGCTAAGAACTGCTGGAAACACCAGAAACCAAGAGAAAGTCATGGAGCCTCCAGAGACAGCATGACCCTGCCAACATCTTCATTTCAAAGTGCTGGCCTCGAAGCCTGTGGAATGATAAACTTCTGTTGCTTTAAGCTGCCTGGTTTGTGGTGCTTTGTGACAGAAGTGCTAGAAAACCCTTACTCGAGTAAGTCATACCTTTTCCGGACACCCAGCACATAACAATGCTGAATAAACAGCAGCAGTTATTGTTTGTGTTAATATACACATCTATGTGTAAGACACTACCCAGAGTGTTACAAAGAGCAGTGGAGCTCCTGCTTCTTTGAGCTGGTAGTTTCTTTGGGCAGATATGTAGACAAATAACTAGAACACAGAGCTGCCCAGGATATGTGAGTGGTGTAATAAATAACATGGGAATTAAAAGAGAGAACGGCTTCAAAATATGTAGCCTGGTAAAGTGGATATAGCAGCAAGTAGGCATCTTGTCACATGTCAGAGCTCTTTAATTCTAATACAACAATTCCCAGTGTGTTGTGTCTTGACTCTTGGCGGTCTCTAACACCCTTTCAGCAGGACCGTGAGGTTAAGACTCTTCTCGTAATAATACTAAGACATTATCATTCTCAACCACAAATAAACAGTGGAGTTTTTCAGAGGCTATATGATATGCCTTCTACTAAGTCAAATATTAAGAAGATTTTCAAAAATGAAAAACAATGTCACTCTTCTTATATATTTTTACATTAGAAAATGGTTTTTAAAAGTATATATTATAGTAGTATTTAATGGTTATATTGTTTTAATAAATTAGTAAGTGAACATTTCAAAATGTTTCTGGCTTTTATTTCTAGTTTGGTAAATAATGATAGATATAATCTACATTTTTTTTTAAAGAAACAGCTCTTTGGGGTCCTCAGTAATTTTTTTTTTTTTTTTTTTTTTTTTGAGACGGAGTTTCGCTCTTGTTGCCCAAGCTGGAGTGCAATGGCGCGATCTCGGCTCACCGCAACCTCCACCTCCTGGGTTCAGGCAATTCTCCTGCCTCAGCCTCCTGGGTAGCTGGGATTACAGGCACACGCCACCATGCCCAGCTAATTTTTAGTATTTTTAGTAGAGACGGGGTTTCAGCATGTTGACCAGGATGGTCTCGATCTCTTGACCTCGTGATCCACCCGCCTCGGCCTCCCAAAGTGCTGGGATTACAGGCGTGAGCCACCGTGCCCGGCCCCCTCAGTAATTTTTAAGAGTATGAAGGGATCCTCAGATTGAAAAAGTTTCACTGTTCTAATAAAGGTCTACCTACCTATTTAGTAAATCAATTGATATTACTACCCCTGGGTGAGCAGTACAGGGATTAAACTTGAAGTGTTCCTCCAAAGCATGAGGCACATGCACACAGACATGCGCCGAATGTGACATTGAAGGTCTTCAGGAAGGACATGCACCCTGGCCTCAGAAAGGAAGCGCCACTGCTTAAGATAGAGGGCGTCCTTTGGCTAGGACCAAACGTGTCAAGAGTCAAAGGCATGATGAATAAGATCGCAATTTGTACCTTATACCTGGACACAAATTTAAAATGCAAAGACCTAAGAATAAGATGGAGGAGAGGTCTCCTGGTCTTTAAATATTTCTTCAGAATTCTCCCTTTTATGGGATATGTGGCTTGTGTGTAGGATGAACTTATATCAATTATATTATATCTCAGGGTCTGAAAAAGTGAGTTCATTATCCAAAAAAATGTTTTGTTGACTCTGTTCATGCTCACTGGTCATCTCCATGGTCTTCCTCCTTCTCCATATGGCCCTGATAAATACAGCTATGCACTCAGTCCAGTGTTCCCATTGCGTATATACGCCCCCTGAAGTCAAGTGGACCTCTTTTTTCTAAAGCCCACAACCTTACTCCTTCTCCCTCCAGGGCAGCGGCAAAGGCCAACAGATGACATCACACCCCAGGGAAAGGTGACTGGCATTAGGTGTATACTGAGGTCAGCAGAGTAGACGGAGGCAAAAGAGAAAGCCTGTGAAGTGTTTCAACCAGTGTGCCTGCCACTGGGAAAATATAAGGAAACTCTTCACAAAAGATTTGGGAAATCTGTGGACAGACTTTCAGAATAGGAACTCTGGCTTCCTTCTGTACTAGAAATTCATATTAATAATGCCAAGTTTGTCTACAAGTAAAACTCAACATGTACGTGAAATAATGAGTCATTTCTTCATCAAATAGAGAAGCCTAAGCCCGGATCCCTGCAAGCTTCTAATGCTTCCAAAAGTTGAGACCTAATCACATCGATAATAACATGAAATACACAAACTGTGCTTTAACAAACACGAGTAGTTCCTCCCAGCATGTATTTATTGTCCTCCAAGAGATACTAGAATGATTTTGCATAGTTAATAACAAACTATACTTTTAGCGATTTCCTTTGGATAGAAAAATGGTGTTTAAGATCTTACACTAATCCGCTGATGGAGTTTGGCTACATATGCCTAAAAATGGATCTTAGAAGTGGATGAAAAGGTAAGAAGATGGTCATTTTACCATTTTATTCAACTAAAGCGTTATTCATTCACTCGTCATAACATTTTGAATTACATTTAGTCTAAATGACTGTGGATACAAGATCATTGTGGCTTTTAATGTCGTTAATTACACAATATAATTAATGCTGTGTTGCAATTCAAGGCTTAGATTCAGTTCCCTGTTGGAGATGTAAATCGGTGCACACCTGACATCCTAACATCTCAGAGGCTTTCTCTCACCACTGGCAAACTTTCCCTTTGAGTGAGTCCCTTCCTTTGCATGCTAGTCTTCAGTGCATGAACACAAAGAGATCTGCCTTCCTGTTCCTATGCTGATTGGCTCCTTTCTCAGAAAATTCTCCTCTGGGAAGGTCATACAGCCCTTGGAATCCGGGATCCCAGTCACAACAGCACTGTTTGATGCTGGCCAAAGGAATCAGAAAAGGTCTGTACAAGGAAGTGGTTGTAGTGGGGGGAAAAAAAAATCAACCACTAAGTAATCAAATATTGCAGGGTAAATCTGATCAGCTGCTCTGTGATTAGTCCCAAGTGACCTGAAAACACTGTAAAGTTGATCTGGTCTGAGGTAGCTCAAAAGATGACTTTGGCCACAATTGCCACATGACTGTGTTACAAGACAAAGCATTTAAGCAAACCTCAGCATGTTGGCAATACATGCCTGGGAAACAACACCATTCCTACACAGACCGTTCTGCATGATCAAATGCTATAAAAATTAATAAGTACAAGAGGAGAGATTAGCAATACCTATATAGTAAAATTATGTGCCTAATGACTTCTGTTGAAAGTGCTAAAATTGCTACAATTTTTTTTTTCATTTTATTGCCTTGTTACAAGTGTCTTCTTCCATTTCTGTGAAAACCCTGTAACTATTTTAACAAGGAGAAGTTCATTTACAGTTGCAATGTAGAAAGCACTACATCTTTCAGACACCTAAAAGTTTAAAAGGAACTTTATTTTAACCATAGAAAAGCGACTTGGACGTTTAAGTAGTAATACAAATGCAGTTTTAAGAACTTATTTCCAAGCAGCTTGCTTTCGCAATCTGTACCAAATTATACACCTTGAAAGTGGGACAAGATCTTGGAGAGGATCTAGGGTGGCTACACCTCTTCATTTTACAGATGAGGAAAGTGAGGCAGACAAAAACAAAGTGAGCCTCCCAGGCCACCCACGGGGAGTGAGAGTGGCAAAACCAGACCTAGAATTCACTGCTTCTAGCTCCCAGCCTGGCACTTCCCCGCCACATCTTATCACTTGCTTTCTTAACCTTCCCTTTGAGTGAGTCCTGGCAAACCTTAGTAATTGCATCTTTGCTGGCATTTGTTCTCAGAAGTCTCTTGAGTTCCAAAAATCCTGCACATCCTGAAATCTCCCCTTGAAGAGATCAACATATCCTGCATGGTTTGTTTAATCAACACAAAACTTTTTCTCTGATTTTTCTCCTTGAAGAAAGCTTCCTTTCTGCCACTTACGTTGTAAACTGTTGGTATGATATTGCTTTCGTCTAGTAAGTATTAACTGAGTACCCAGTGTGTGTCAGTCCCTGAGGTAGGCATTAAGAAAACAAAGGTGAACTTGACATGGCCCCTGCCTCCAAGCAGCTGTCAGCTAGTGGCATGATGAATGTTGTGTTTTGATGAGTACACAAGTCACTATGGAATCCCCAGCAGTGACAGAGTCCCCATACTAGAAATCTCAGTGACATCTCAGAGACAGTGACAACTAAGTAAGTCACACAAAAGGTAGGTCCTACAGGAGAAGTAGGAGTTAGCCTTGCAAACACGTGGGACAAGGAGAACTGACAATTCAGAGACTGCACGTGGCCCCAAATGAATGGAGACACGTGTACTGTGCTGGGGGTAAGGGGTGTGCTCGCTTCTCTAGACTTATAGCTTATCACTGGCTTTTGTATAAAGATTTCCTAGCTTTAATGTATCGGAGCCAATGATCCTCCGATTTTTTTGTCTTTATACCATTCGGGTGAGAAAAAAGCCCTGTGGATAGGATTACTATATATCCCACTTTGCCTGGGACAGTCCTGGTTTATGTCTGTTGTCTTGATATTAATTACAGTGCCCCATTTACTCTCAAACATATCCTGATTTGAACAATATAAATTCATTTTACTTATAGACCATCAGCCGCACTCTTCAAGCACACATCACGTGTATGCAGGTATAAACAGAACTATGGGCATAGTTTTCTCATCCCTTAAAAACTAACTTTTGGCTGGACACGGTGGCACATGCCTGTAATCCCAGCACTTCGGGAGGCGGAGGCAGGCGGATCACTTGAGATCAGGAGTTCAAGACCAGCCTCATCTACATGGCAAAACCCTGCATCTACTAAAAATACAGAAATTAGCCGGATGTGGTGGCATGCATCTGTCATTCCAGCTACTTGGGAGGCTGAGGTAGGAAAATTACTGGAACCAGGAGGCAGAGGTTGCAGTGAGCCGAAATCGTGCCACTGCACTCCAGCCTGGGTGACAGAGCAAGACTCCATCTCAAAAAAAGAAAAAAAAAAACTACCTTTTGACTGTATCAAAGTATTACAGATATCGTTTAGCTTAGCCTGCCTTATCTTCAAGATGGAGAGACATGGTGAGAACATCTTTCAAGTATTTGGTATAACCGGTCCTTAGGCAATCCCATGAGAAACCTTGCCTATTATAATATCAATAATGAAATGCCTAAAAACACAACCTTCGTCGTCCACATTCTACATCTGTGAGAAGCAAAGGATGTGCCAGATTAAGAAAATAGAATATTTTGTATTTAAGAAAATAGGATATTTTCTGCAATGTGAAAGAATATCAGGACTAAACAAAGTGATTAAGTGAATCAATGTATCTGAAAAGTGCTTTGTGGGCAAGAAAGTACAATGCAGCTATTAGTAATGAGAGTAATTGCTTTCATTTCCCATGTCAGGGAGTTGGGGGAGTCTGCTTTGTTCTGAAGCATCACAGCTGCTTTTGTCTCTTTAGAAGCCTGACCTTGACCACTGACCCAGCCCACTGTTGCCAAACAGTAAACTTAGAGCTGAACTCTGCCACACCAGAATGGCCCAAATCGCTGACTCTGCATAGCCCCAAAGTCAATCCACAACCCAGAGGGGTTGAAACAGCACAATTCAAGGCGTTAGGAAGCAAAGATATAAACCTGCTGACTCACTTCCTTTGGAGAAGCCTTTCCTCAGACAGGCTTCATCTCCACCCTTGAAGGAACTCATCAAACCTAACACTAACTGGCAGGGACTGAGGTTTGGAACCCATGATTGAAAACCTCCTGGGACATGTAGGGGTTGAAAAAGATGGTAACAGAACCCATGGTGTTGTGCAAACACCCCGAGCTGCAAGTTTGAAGGTCTGATTTGATCTCAGCAGTGCTACTTACAGGCTGTGTGACTTTAGACACCACATCACCTGTGAGTTCTGCTCCTCATCTACAGAATCAGGGGGCTGGGCTGAAAGATGCCTAAGAGCCCGCAGCTCTGAGGATCTGATTACGAGTCTCTGAACTAGCCTGGCATGTTGGTTTTTAGTATGATATGCTTAAATGAAGCCATAAAAAAAGTGTACAGCATATGAGAGAAACGACAAGCAGCCTAATTGATGAGTCCAAGAATATGCATCTGAAACGTGTCACTTGTTTAAAGTTATGCTGAAACCCAGAAAACTGGAAGGAGAATAATTTCCATTTAGATGAATGTGGTGGCAAGTAGATAAATAGTGATCTGGTGCTTAAAAATGCCAAAATGAAGGGTAGTCCATATGCCTAAATCTCACCCTTACGATGACAGCCAGGGAGAAGAGCCAGCCAGACATACCAGTGCTTCTCAGCTTTCCCCTGTTTGGGGGTACCACACCCTTTCTGAAACTAGCATTGCAAAATTCATTCTGAGTTCCAAGGTAGGCCTGAAAATGTCCTCAGAAGTGTTTTCCCCTCCGTGAATCACATCACGGTTGCACCCCTCTGCCACCAAAACCTCTGAGCCGTGCTGACTTCTTCATATTCTTACCTTGTATGGTTAAGTGATTTTACTCCCTATATGGTATTCCTGGTGTCCAAAGGGTTGAGAGCTGGAAATTCTGCCAATCTGAGGGATGAGAGGCGGCAGTACTGAAGCCGACAGCCCGTCCTTGAAAACAGCTCCATTATATCCACTTTGTTCACCATCTCAAATCACCTCAAATAATCATTTTTATGAATTTCCCTGAAAAGGAAGTCACCAGCCCTCTGACCCCACCTTGCTTACCTGGAGTCGCAGTTGTCCTGGAAAGCACTTGGAAAAAGAATAGGCAAGCGAGGAGCACAAAGACCTGGATGTGGAGGCGACCGTGTCTGGGCAGAAGCAGTGGCTCACCTGGGCAGCGCCGCCACGCCCACTGTGCCAGCCCAGCTCCACGCCCCGCCCCGCCCCACCTCGGCGGCTCTCCGCTCTTACTCAAGCCCCTTGGCAGCTTGTCACAATTGAAAGAAATGATTCAGGCTGAAGCTGCTGTTGTCTGCATAGCTTCCAAAAGGCCTGCAACATGTTCGGGCAGGAAGGGTCTGTGAGCTACATGCATATATACATACATGCGTGCAGCAATCGTCTTAGCCCACACAGGGCCGGAAGGTAAGATATTGGATGAAATAAAAGGAGTATGTGATGATAGTAATACTACACATTTCTCAGACATGTTGGTGGCACAAAAAGTACTCTGATCCCCATTCTTTTTATGTAAACTGAGGCAGCTCATTCTGCTAGACACCAAAAGAGGTAGCTGCTCGTTAAACAAAGTCAATCAAAAAATAAGGAATACACACACACACACACATACACACACAGTGCCTACCTAAAAATTAGGTACTATTAGCAAAATATTTACTGCCAACTTGATAGGAGATACTGTTTAATTGGGTGGCACAGGAAGTTTCTTTTTAAAATCCTGTGATTAGGATTACTCAGGCATGGGACAGTGGCTCGTGCCTATAATCCCAACATTTTGGGAGGCCGAGGTGGGAAGATCGCTTGAGTCCAGGAGTTTGAGACCAACCTGGGCAACATGGTGAGACTCCGTCTCTACAAAAAATGCAAAACAATAGCCCAGTGTGGTGGTGCGTGCCTGTGGTCCCAGTGACAGTACTTGGGAAGCTGAGATGGGAGAATCACTTGAGCTTGGGAGGTCAAGGCCACAGTGAGCCATGAGCTAACCACTGTACTTCAGCCTAGGTGATGAAGCCAGACTGTCTCAAAACAAAACCAAAAAAAAAGAAAACGGAGTGTGCAGCTCTGCTCTGAAATCTCTTCGCGGAGCCTGCTCTTGTCCTCCTGTCTTCCCACAGCGCCTTCATTCGGTGGGACCGACTCCCTTCCAGCCAAATCAGTCTCAGGAAAGGATCTAAAATGGAGCCAGCTGGTTCTCTGCTGTGCTTATCTAGAATTCCCTATTGTTCATTTACTACATTGTTTTATAACAATCTCTTACATTCTCCTATATGTGACTGCAACCGTTTTAAAGGCAAGGTCCAAGCTTCATTCATTTTTACACCACCAACGCTTGGTACAGACCCGATGTACAGTGTGCAGTCAATAAGTGCTTGTTGACTAATGAGAGCAACTTGCTATACTAAACTTACTCAACTAAGATTGACCAATAGCTTCCCCTCCCCCATGTCCTGGGTATTTTAATGTTAACCGGGATCAAAGTCATACGCTAAATGAGTTAAACTCCAAAAATAGAATTTAAGGCATCAGTGGAGCAAGTGGAAGGAAAGTCATAGGTAAGGACGTATGGACAGGATGCTTCTTAAAAATTCTATTATCCAGCTGTAGGAGGAAAAATGAGAATTTGGGAGCAGAGTCACACGTTTGCAAACTAAATCTAACCACTCATTGCTTGAGAAATCCCGAACAAATTGCTTAATCTTCAGATTCCTCATCTGTAAAATTCAATCTACATATGGTTCTCATTTGTCACTAAGATCTACAAAATGAGATATAGATAGAGATGGATGAAGAGACACTTCTTACATAGTTTCTGGCACATAGCATGTGCTTCCTAATGATGGCAATTAGTACCACTTTGCCTATTGCTTAGGCAGGCTCGGGAAAGAGTGGACAGATGGCTGGAGCATGATATTGACTTCAAACTCACCACATTTATTGAACACCTGCTCCATGCTTGCTACTGTGGTCCACAGACTTCAAGGGACTTTCACTTAAATGGCAGAGCTTCTCTATTCTCCTTTTTGATGTTTTAATTCCTCTGAAACACTCCTGTTCAGTGCTTGCTCAACCTGGGTAGAAACATTTCCAATGATAGGAATTCAACAACACCCAAGGAAGTCCAAATAAAATGCCTTCGGGTGATTCTGAGTGAAAGTTAGAAGCACCATTTGACTGGGGCTATAAGACATGTTTCCTCTCCCCAAAGGGTTCAGTAGGAAGATAAAAAACAAAAGAAAGTATCTGGAGGCATGTAATAAGGGACATCGGGGGAGTTCAAAGGACAAAAGGAGTTCAGAGATGAGAGTGACCTTTTCATTCTGGCTGTGACTGGGGAAGGATCATGGAGGCAGTGTCATTGAACATCAGGAAACCATTTAACCCTGGGAACGGAGGTCCAGAGCTGGGATGGCACAAGGTATATTGGACAGGTATGTTAACAGAAGATTAAATAGAGCATTCCCTGTCTAAAGCTTTCACCTGTTGAAGAGTCTCTGAAGGTCAGACCCTCTACCCGAATGTTCTCACCCTCTCATCAAACCCAAGTAAGGCAAGGACTCATAAGTCTCAGGTGTAACATCATTGACAAAATAAACTGTTGATTTAGGCAAAACAGTCGGGGGAAGAAAGCAAATAAACCATGGTTCCCATTCAGTGGTAAGTGTATTAAAACTGTGATTCTATTTGACTGAGAAGACCCGTTTCCCAGTAATATTCTTTTCCATGGCAGCCATAATTATAAGTTCTTTAGAATTCTACCTAAAAGGCACTAGAAAACAGAAAAATGGGAGAGGATGAAGTTATATAAGTAGCTCACTTTTTTTTTTTTTTTTTGAGATGGAGTTTTGCTCTTGTTGCCCAGGCTGGAGTTCAATGACGTAATCTCGGCTCACCATAACCTCCACCTCCCAGCAACTTCCACCTCCCAGGAACAAGCAATTCTCCTTCCTCAACCTCCTGAGTAGCTGGGATTACAGGCATGCACCACCATGCCCAGCTAATTTTGTATTTTTAGTAGAGACAGGGTTTCTCCATGTTGGTCAGGCTGGTCTTGAACTCCTGACCTCAAGTGATTCACCTGCCTCGGCCTCCCAAAGTGCTGGCATTACAGGCGTGAGCCATTGCACCTGGCCCACATTTTTTAAATTACGCAATTTCAAACTAGTTTCTGGAGAACATGGCTGCCGATTAATTTTAGGAAAGAGTGGCCTCAGGAATGTCTTCTGCATTCAACAGGTTTCTACTCTGCTTCCCTGTTTTAACTGGGCATTTTGATTGGGGTCTGTGATTGACTGAATAAACATTTGTTGAGTATGTCAGATCCTGGGCAAGACCCAGCATAAGACCGAACTATGGATCTCAAGCCAACTACAGTTTAGCTTTACATTTCTATAAGTCTGATACCTACACTAATGGTTATAGTGTATAAATGTATATACATCCTGAAGGAAATGCCTGGAGAGAACAAAGTTGTCATGTCAGTCATGTTAATATGTGGACTTAGAAGCATGAGACTTAGAAGAAAAAAGGTTCTACTATAACTCAGCGAGCAACAATATCAAAATAACAGTATGGTGTTATTATCACATTATAATCTTCAGTCTCTTGCCTCGTGGAAAGCTTTTAATGTGGGCTCATGAATAGACAATTCTAGAATGTTTTTTATCTTCCTTCTTCTTGATGAACTTTGAACCTATAAGAAGCAGATATAAAGCCAGATTTTACAGTTTTCTGTATGATACGCTCTACAGTTCACTTTCTGTGTTTACTGTTGATGGCCTCCTTCAGCTAAAATCTAAACAGATTTTTTTTTCGTCTATTTTATTCACTGATGTAGTCCAAGAACTTAGAACAGCATCTGGCACACAGTGGGTACTTGGCATGTACTGGGTAGAGAATGAATGAGTGGGAAATAACCCTACCTGAGAGTGATTCAACTAAGGATGAATTCAACCCATAAATTTGAAATAAGTTTGACATTTCCTTAAATACCAGTTCCTTTCCTGGTGTTCTCTTTTATATACTGAAGACCAGTGCATCTGATTCATTCCAAACACTTTATATTTGTAAAGTAAATGATTCTTTAAAAAATATTTGTGACAAATAATTACGTCTGTCTGTAAGAAAAAGCATTTGCTCTATAACTCCAAAACTAATCCATATTTTCCCCTCTCTTTTTTTGCCACAAAAACCATTTTATTGACTATATATCAAAAAGAGTAGATGTTTTTGGAGGAGAGATACATAGCTCAAAGAATTAATTATTCATTCATTCATTATACAATTTTATGAAGCAATATCTTCCTCTAGTTCAACACAAGTAATCATTGGACCAAATATTTAATAACCTAGGAGACTGTTTTGTTGGTGCTTTTTCTTACCTATCGGTTGACACTTTGCCAACATTATAACTTGATTACTCAGCATCCAGGCTGAGGGATGATTTGACACACCCAGCCACTCCCAGGAACAAATCAAAGGAGCTTTGTTCTAGCATGTGCCTCTCACTTTCTCTCTCTCTCTCTCTCTCTCTCTCTCTCTCTCTCTGTCTCTCATTTTAGCTCTCACTCTCTCTCAGTCTCTCTCTTTTACTAAGAGAAGTTTCAGCCACAAATTCTGAGCATTATCCCCGGATTCCTACAAATCATCAAGTGATTTTTCCTCCCCACTAGTAAAGATGATTCCCACTAATTCACATGATGCCTCTCCCATACAACAGTGGAATAATATTAGCCTTCCATGTTTCCAGCCATTCACAGTTCACGATAAAGGATCCTAACTAGTCACTGAGGACTATTATGTCCTTTTCACTTGTGGAGAAACTGAGTCAGGAAAGATAAAGTGACTTCTTTAAAGTTTCTGACTGAGATGGGAAAAAATATTTTAGAAGCCCCAGATTTATAATTCTTTACCCTAACTACTCTTATTTTGAGGATTTATTTTGTGCTTTTTGTCTTTTCAACTTCTGGTGTTTGTCTTGAAGAAATGTCATATTAAATGATAACCTGTTACGGAAAACAAGCTATGTGAAAATTTCTAAGAAGTAAACTTAAGAGAAAAAAAAAAGTCAACAGTTAAAAAAAACATAGTTAAACAGCACTCCAAAGTTAAACCACAACCAGATCGTAGAAGTGGCACAATTCACCTTTAAAATTCTTAATTGGCCAGGCTCGGTG